AAATCCAGTTTGTCTTCAAGAAGATCCAAAAAATAGACACTCCCTGAAACATAAATTATACCATATTTAATTTATCCTGGAAATTTGGACTTTGAGATGCATATCATAATTTCTTAAAATGAAGCATTCCTGTAAAAATGACCCCATTTGCTTGTTTCCAGGCTTGGATTTGCACGAATCATACTAAAGGACAGTATTTTCTAAATAGGATAACTTTCCATCAAGAGTATGTAAGGCAAGACAATCCTTTGGAATGCAGAATGAAAATATTAAAGTTTGTGGATATCTTGTTTTTTATCCCATGCTTTTAAATTTCTACTTGTCTTTATGTTTTGTGTCTAATATATCACTAAATAGTTCATCCATATGATTTATAAATAAATAAATATGCACATATAAAATATGACAAAAGACATTTTACTGATAAGGCATATAATGGAAACATTTTGGAGACAATTACTATAGATACTATAGAAGTCAATTGTTTTTCTCGTACCCACTAATGTGGATGACAACGTAACTAGTGTCAGGTAAACAGTTGCTTTGGTTGAGAGTATAAGGAAAAGCAGCACCTAAAAGCCTTGTTTAGGGGCACCTCAGTGGCTCAGTCAGTTAAGTTTCTGACTCCAGCCAGGTCATAATCTCATGGTTCATGAATTTGAGCCCTGTGTCAGGCTCTGTGCTGACAGCTCAGAGCCTGGAACCTGCTTCAGATTCTGTGTCTTCATCTCTCTCTGCCCTTACCCCACCCACGCTCTGTGTCTCCCTCTCTCTCTCCCTCTCTCTCTCTCTCTCTCAAAAAAAATGAATAAACATTTAAAAAAATTTAAGCCTTGTTTTTTGGGAATTTGAATGAAACTGTGGCCATTAACCATATGTGATGTTCCTTTCAAAAATATACAAGCATGAAGGAGGGTCACGCCTGAGATCCATAAATTTGTAGGGAGTCATTTGATGGGTTTACAATACCTCTAAAGTGCATCCAAACTGGTGTGTGAGTTTGTGTGTGTGTGTGTGGGGGGGTGTATTGGCATCCCTTTCTTTTGAAATAGTCCATAATTTTAATCTGAATTTTATTTTATTTTTTTATTTTTTTTTAAATTTTTAATGTTTTTTTAAATTTATTTCTAGGAGAGAGAGAGAGAGAGAGAGACAGCGTGAGCAGGGGAGGTTCAGAGAGTGAGGGAGTCACAGACTGAAACAGGCTTCAGGCTCAGAGCTGGCAGTCAGCACAGAGCCCCACGCGGGGCTCGAACCCATGAACCGCGAGATCATGACCTCAGCGAAAGTCGGACGCTTAACCGACTAAGCCACCCAGGCGCCCCCCTAATCTGAATTTTAAAAGACACCATGAACATACCCTTATCATCCTCACCATCATTGAATTAATAGACTTGCTATAGAACAATATCTTTTCTTCATGAGCTGGCTGACTTCAGTGCTCCAATCACACATGTCAATGTTAAGTGACTGGCTTTCCCGGATTATGGCTCTTTGTTTGCCTTGTCCTTTATGACCTAGCTCTTCTTTTCACTAAGGGTCATGTCAGTTTTATCTGATTCCCACCACAAGATTTCTTGACAGTGGGCTTTGTTTTTCAAAGAATTCTGCTTCCTAAATGAAGGTGGAAACCAGTCTTAATATTGTGATTCTGGCCCTGGCTTTGTCTCCTCCAAGTCTTGGCCCATTCACTTCTAGCTCCTTCTGGAAACTGCCAATATGGCCAATGACATTATGGCAGGTGTCGGAAGAAATAGAATTTCATCCTTTATCCACTCTTTTTCTTCTAAATATAAGTCAATTGAAAGCATAATTTAATTCCAACAAGTAATACTTATAATTTTTTGTGGGTATTCCAGGAGAATACAAAGATGAATAATATAGTTCTTGCCCTTAAGAAATTGCAACTTACTAGGTGACAGGGCAAGCAGGGTAAGTATTCAAACTTAGGTTTCCTACCTCAAACCCACTGCACCTTCCACCACAGAACACTCACAATTTTGTCTATAATTAGTTTGGAATTGTGTGTGGGTTTTCAGATTTTCAACATATATATATATATCCTGAAAGCAGTCCACTTTGGAATAAGTTGCATATACTTTTTAGATTGAAAGATTGATTTTGTATTATTTGATTACCTTTTTAAAAGATCCTTTTTGACTCTCTTTTGCCTACTGGCTTTTACTGAACAACAAGGAAAAAGTAAGAAGAGAAGTAAGGGTGCTAAGTCAGTCACACAAGGAAGGAGGACAATTATAATTCCTGATCTTTCTGATACTACTAAATAGGAGTTTGTGCAGTACAATTAGGAGTTTTGAGCCATAATTTTATGAGCAGAATTAAATATAAGAAGTATATGTTTTATAATACTAAGTGTTCCATATTTAAACTTCCATGATCCTAGAATCGTAGAACTTATAAGCTTATCAAGCCCTACACAGTTGGAGAAACATATTCAAAAGATTAAATGGCCTATTTAATGTCATCTTTTTATTCCTAAAGCTGGTAGAAGAACTTGTTAGTGTCATTTCAATATGCTTTTTATTGTATACTATTACGATTACATAATATAGTTCATCTTCTCTTAACTGAATGTATCAGGATATAGATGTTCAGACTGTATTGATACAGAAATTGCTCTTTTTGCTTCACTTCCCCTTCTACTTAATAGATGTATGGGATCCAACAGTCCCCTCAGCAAATGGGAGGGTCTGAAGATTTAACCTTCACCACCCTCAAGGAAACAGGATCTGGTTAGGAGTTGCTAATAGTTATTGTTCTGAATTTGAAGAGCTATCAAGCTCTACTGAAGGAGAACAAAGAATGGATTCTAGAGTACAAAGGCAATATGAAGATCAATGGAGGGACCGTAAGACTACTATAAGGACTTAGAGAAAGTTGATTAAGAAATAATTCCAGAGAGTAGCCTGGGAATATGAGACCTGGTCAGGGGAGGTGCTCCAAAGGGAGAAAATCCCTTTTCAAACAAGAGTCATATAACAATGCAAATAACATGTTCCAGTGTCCAGGCATTTGTACTGACCACCTAGCCTATGTTCGAAGGAGGAACTTCCACAGTCTTCACCCTGGGGCTCCACACTGTTTTGGTGGGAATTACTTTGACTGTTAATAGTGCAGCAGAAGCTATAAGTACCCATGCTCCAAAACTATATTTGGTCTATATTTAAGTGACTCATGTGTCCACCTCCCCAGTGCTAACTCAGCCTAGCTCACAATGCTCCAGGTAACCCATATATGCCATGCATATCTAGGAGGAGTAGTGGGATGAAGTAGGGAGACTCCTCTCATCTGTACCTAAAAGGACTGTATCTAGAATGACAAATGCAAGTTGAAACTCTCTAGAACTGAGGTGATGGCTATATTAAAGTTTATACACTCATGTAACGGTTTCATTCTAAAGAGTTTAGTTTTGCTGTTTTATAAGATATTTATAAGATACTTAAGTTTTTTCCTAGTTTTTCTTCCATAAATGGATATAAAGGACCTTACTTTGTTAATATATAAAATTTAAAACTTATCTACCACTGAGCCATTTTGTTTAATGTGTATGTATTATTTATGCTCATGTGCTTCTCTGTCCCTTTAAATAATTCAACAGATAAAAAATGGAGGGGATACAATTTGATGCTCAAGACTGAGGAAAACAAGATGCGTAACTGTGTATTGTCTGCATGACTAATGTGAGCTTACTTAACTGTAATCATTTGAAAGTACCCAATGTATTATACTCTCAGTGACTAATCTTGCAACCATGTTTTTAAAGCCAACAAATGTCCCCTAAAGAACTTCTAAGCACACAGGAAAGAGCAAATTTCAGAAGATATTAAAACTCTACAAAAAGGGAGATTATTTTTTGCTTTATTTTGTTTACTAGATTTTTTTTTTAGTTTAGACAATGAAGTTACCAAAAACAGGGTACATCAATAATGGCCATATAGACCGTCTGAGAGCAAATGAGTAACAACAACAGATTAAGAGATACACAAAGAGTAAAAGAATGCTTGAATAAAAATCTTGCAGGGAGAATTTTTCCCCCAAGTTCAATAGGGCAATGGATCCACCGTAAAAGAAGCAAACAACCATCCTGAAACTTAATTACATTTCAAAGTAGTGCAGCTACATGAAAGGAACAAAACGTTTTTGTTCAATAGTTTGCCTACCAGATGGCATTTCTAAATATAGTAATCTAAAACCTTCTGTTTGTTCTATAAATAAAGATGAAAGGAATAGCAATAATATCTAAGCATTTAAATCACTGGGAATAAAACAGCACTTTGATTAGGTTTAGAAAAATCTGGTTTATTCTCATAATGATCCTGAATCTGTGAAGGTTCAAGTTCTAGGTGAAACTCAGAATCCCAGCCTTCCAGGATTGCTCTTCTATCTGCTCAAAATGGTTTTCATTCAAGTAGAGGAACCAACCAGGAACTAACACCAGGAGGCGTGGGGAAATCTGAAAACATAAGGACTCCTAATCTTTGGACTCTAAATGGCTACCATCCAAATACCAGAAGTATTCTGGGGCTTGTTGGGAGAGGGAGGTTGTTTCATTTTTGAATTAAAAGAGTTGAAGTATGTCCTGTCTTATTTTTGTGAGGGAATGTGTAAATGTGTAACAGTTAAAGACCTGGACTTCGGAGTCAGGCTCACTCCGTGAGCCCAGGTTTTACAGATGAATGGTAGCATGCTCAGGTCTTTACCTCTGTGAGCATCACTGGCAGAAACAGACAGCAACATACAGACTTTTATGGGAATTTAGTTATGACAGCACTTGGCACCCTACTGAGTCCCAGTGAATTTCAGCTCTTCAGTATCATCATTAACAATAGTAATATAGCTATATTACATTGGCTATATTAGCTGCATGACACTAGCAAGTAATTTTGCTTCTGGTTTTCTGTGATCTCAAAGAATAAGGCGATGCACAGCCAGGTTGTCTGGCAGTAATAGAGTTCAAAGAGTAGAACTCAAAGCCTTACCTGGTACATCTCCACTGTCTCCAAGTATAACTGCCCTCTTCTCACCGGTAGCTCTTGAAAGTTACTGAGAATTCATGTGGGGAAGGCAAGCCTAAAGACAGAAGTACCTTTTAAGAATTGGTTATCAGAGGTCAGTCCATCCCAGTCTGTCCTCTCTAATACTTCATTCTCAGTACTCTCAGCTGACGATCTATAGTTTTTAGTGAAATGACTCAGAGGTCCTTTTGCATCTGGTCAACTCAAGGCATGTAGGACCATTCCCATGGACAGCATTGGTCCAACACTGTGATAGCATAGAACTTGGCAACTGGCTCATGATGTTAAGCAACCTAGTCACTTGGGAGTAGGGTATGTACCATGAACAAATAAAAGGTAATTCGTAATTGCTTGAGTATGATGCAAACTACAACGAATGGAAAGCTGGTGTTTAATGGCACTTAAAGTTCCACTGGGCTGTTTGTTGAATTTTACATGAGGAAAGAGCCACTTGCTGGGTCTACTGACTTCAATATTAGAAGATGTCTATGGTTAGGACTTTGTATAGAAGGTAATACCATTTGTTTTTAGTATTTTAAAAATTGTGATGGAACACTTGGGTGGCTCAGTCGGTTGGGCATCCAGCTTCAGCTCAGGTCATGATCTCATGGCTCACAGGTTCAAGCCTTGCGTTGGGCTCTGTGCTGACAGCTTGGAGCTTGGAACCTGCTTCAAATTCTGTCTCCCTGGTTCTCTGCCCCTCCCCCACTCACACTCTCTCTCTTTCCTTCAAAAATAAATAAACATAAAAAAATTTCTTTGAATTGTGATAAAATGTACATAACACAAAATTTACCATTTTAACCATTTTTAATGTAGAATTCAGTGACAGTACATTCACAATGTTTTACAACCGTCATCACTATTTCCAGAAAATTTTCATCATCCCAAACTGAAACTCTACACCCATTTAACCATATCTCCCTATTCCTCCTTCCCCTCTGCTTTTAGTAATCGCTACTCTACTTTCTGTCTTTATGAATTTCCTACTCTAGATATCTCATCTAAGTGGAACCATACAATATTTGTCTTTCTGTGTCTGGCTTATTTCAATTGGCTTACTGTTCTCAAGGTTCATGTATGCTGTACCACGTATCAGAACTACATTCCTTTTTAAGGCTGAATAGTATTCCATCATAGGTATTCCATGTTACGTCTATACATTTTGTTTCCCATTCATCCATTGACGGCCATTGGGGTTGCTTCCACCTTTTGGCTTTTGTGAATAATGAACACTGGTGTACAAATTATTGGTCTGAGCTCATGCTTTCATTTCTTTTACATGTATAACTAAAAGGAGAATCGCTAGCTCATATGGTAATTGTTTAACCTTTTTAAGAAAAACTAAACTGTTTCCATAGCTGCTGCACCATTTTTACATTCCTATCAGCAGTGTGTCAGGATTCCAATTTCTCCACATCACCACCAATACTTATTTTGTTTTTCTAATAATAACCATCTTAATAGGTGTGAAAGGGTATGCCCTTAGATCTGCTGTGTAAACTATTTTTTAAAACTACAGAGTTATTATATAGTTGTCTTATTTGTATATAAAAAGTTACACACAACCTGTTCAAGGCCCAAATAAGGTAAAGTAGGATTGCATCTGCCAAATTTTGAACAGAACACCACTGTTTCTCCAAATAAGAAGGCAATCCTTAATTTTAGGACTGCAGCTAAAAATCCTACAGCAAATAACTATACCCATTAGGCTTAGCGAAGCTGTCATCTTTACAATACCACCATCGGCAAAACCCAAAACGCTCGGGGAAGGAAGACACGCCTCAGATTTGAAGGAGAAGCGGGACAGCACAAGCCCTACCGCGCAGGCGCGTCTCCAGGCGCGCTCCCTGCGCGCCTGCGCGCCTGCGTGCGCGGGCCCGCGGGACGGCGGAGGGGCGGGGCCCACGAAGCTACGCGGGCGGCAGCGATGGCGGCTGCGTCGTGTTCAGTTCGGGTGCAGCGTTGCATGGTGTCGCCAGCTGGGAGGCACAGCGCCTCGCTGATCTTCCTGCACGGCTCAGGTGGATTACAGTTCTACGTCCTAGTTTTCTGCTTGGGAATGAGTCGTCCTCCCTTCGGGTCCCTCGTTGTTGCCCTAGTGGAGGAAGAGCTGGGCCCCAGTGGGGCTGGACTCGGAAAGGGCGACCCTCCCTTCTCTAGCCCTGTGGCCTGGGACACACGGGCCTGGTAATCTGTCCCCAGCGTTCCCCACCGTGTGCTCTCTTTTCCTGTCTTGTGGTCACTGGCCCACCGCCCTCGCGGAGGGCCCCTGTGTCCTGCCTCCCGGCCATCCCTCTCCATCTGCAGTATACTCTCCATTGCAACCCTTGCTACTCACCCCAACCCCCACCATTGCTTTCCCTCAAGCTTAAACAGAGCAAGTTAGTAAGGTAAGTTCTCTGCTAGAGACAAATAAATTATTTAGTTCTTTCCAGGGCCAGCTATTAGTGATTTGGGTTTTCAACCGCATTGGATTGTTTGCCATTGCTTTTCTCTTTCCAGTCTCCCAGACTACTGTAGACATTTCAGACAGTTCACTTAATATTTGTTATGCCCTTTCTGTGAGGCACTGTGCCAGGGCTGCAGTGCCTTTCTCCCTTTCTTCCCATTCCTGCTCCTCCTTTCTTTTTTCCTCGTTCCCTCACTTGTCATTAAGCTCCCAAGACACAGCACAGAGTCAACTCTCAGTCCCAGGGGTAGACATTCTCCTTGCCCTGCCCTCCCATCGTGGCGTGTGCTTTATTCGGTATAGCATTTCTTACACTCATCTGTAATTACTTCTGTCTGTCTGTCTCCCTTCACTTTCCCTTCCTCAAGAGTAAGGACCCTTGTTTTAATCTTTGCATCCCTAGTGCTTGGCCCAGGGTAAGTTCTTGGGAAATATTTTTTAAAGAAATGAGATGCAGCCGGTGTCCTCAGGGCGCGTACCTAAAGTTAAAAACAAAAACAATTCAATTAGTTTGAGTCAGCAGTGGACGGGAGATCACAAGATGGTACATGATTTACTGCCAAGAGAATTGTAAGGAAAAAACTGTGGTTAGGCATATTAAGGTATTTGGAAGATGAAGAGCTTGTCAGATTTGACCGAGAACGTGGGCTTTGAGCTGAGACTTTGGTAGGCGTAAAGAGATGGTGATTGGTTAGTGGAGGGGATTGAAAAGGTACCCCGGGTGGAGACCTGGAAATGGGCAGTTGTGGGAAGTATTCTCATTTTAAAAATGAGTCCCAGTAGGCTGAACAGTTTGCCCAAGGTCACTTGGCTATTGCTGTGAGTGATAATGGGATTAAAATTCGCACTCAGATCTTTCTGACTTCAGAAGGGGTGACGTGGAAAAACTCTAAGCTAGGATGTATCATTTTGGAAATAGGAAGAAACCGGCCAAACATGTTGCAAGGGAAAGCCTTGGCTGCTGAAATATATTTAGAAGGTGAGGGGAGGTGTGTAAGAGCACACCAATGCTTTACAATTAAGAGACTGTTACTGGTACTATTTTGGGCTCCAAGGGTGTTCATTTATAAGTATCCAGAAATTCCCCAATACCATAGTTTTTTTTAATAAGTAAGTTTAATTAGTTCATAATATTTTAAGGAAATACTTCTAGACATTTCTTTTTTCCCTGGGTCGCTTTGCTTAACGTCTATCCTTACTCTTTTCAATTTCAAATTACTGACATTTTTTTAAATTGTAAACCCAGACTTGTACAATATAAAAGTGTATATTTTTTCCTTTGTACTTGGGAACAAAGACTATATCCAAAGAATTCTGCTAATTATGCAAATATAATGTAATTCCTATATAGTTAGAGTTCCATTGTAGTAAGTAAAACCCTTATTGAAAGTATGATTTTATATATTAGACTTAGACTTTACTATTTGTGGTCATGTTATAGGAGATATTTGGGTTCTGGTTAATATAAATATGGGCAAACCAATTTTAACAGTTTTACCTGGCTCTTAGATTAAAGTGCCAGCTTTTTAAAAAGCAAACCTTGTGAGTGGATGAATGATGTTGCTTTGTGGTGTTAAGTTTTGCTTTTTAAGATTGACTAGGTGGATTTAGAGGCATTTTTTAAAAATTTTAAAAGTCTGACGTTCTCCCCTAGGATAAAATAGCGGTAGAAAACATATGGGAATGTGAGTAATACACAGCCAGATTAATTTGAACCTTTCCTACTCCTAAAACACAAAAGAAGTACGGTCTTTCAGGATGATAAACACAAATAATAGTTTAATTAGCTTTGTTTAGTTTCCCAGGTTAGATTAATTCACTCGGTTGTAAGCTTCTTTAGAACACTGTGGTTCTTCTTTTAATGGTATTTATACTTGTAATTACTTAATTTAAGGTCTGTATTCCACACTGGGCTATGCGGTTCACGCCCAAACCATGCACACCTTGCATTTTGAGTTGGCTTTTAGTAAAGTCACCAGTAACCTCTGTGTTGCTAAATGAGATGCACATTTTCTTATCTCAACTGTTAGCAGCTTCAGCATTCTTTTTTTTTTTTTTTTTTTTTTTTTTAAAGAAGAGTAAGGCCAGTATGGGAAGCAACTATTAAAATTTTTTTAAATGTTTATTTATTTTTGAGACAGAGAGAGAGGCAGAGACCAGCAGAGGAAGGGCAGAGAGAGAGGGAGAGACAGAATGCGAAGCAGGCTCCAGGCTCTGAGCTGTCAGCTCAGAACCCAGTGCTGGGCTCTAACCCACCAACTGTGAGATCATGACCTGAGATAAGTCAAGGAGGCTTAACCCACTGAGCCAGCCAGGTGCCTCATCAGCATTGTTCTTGTAACACTTTCTTGGTTCTTTCTACCTGTTTGCTTCTTTTGGTTTATTTTGCAGACTCATTCTCTTCTATCCATTAATTTTGGGGTTCCTCAAAATTTGGTCCTATGTCCTTGTTTTCATTTTGCATTTTTCTCCCCAGCTAATGTGCATATATGCCCAAGGATTCTGTTTTTTCCTCATTACGGTGACATATATGTGCGTCTCTTTTTTAAGTTTTCTTTGAGCTCTGGACATGTTTATCCAATGGCCTAATAATCCCTCATTCATTAATCCATTCATTCAAGAAATACCTATTATATGGCCACTGTGCAAGGCACTTTTCTAGGCTCCAGGCATATAGTAATGAAAACAAACAAAATTCCCTGCTCTTGTGGAATTTACATTCCAGTGGAGGAAATATTATGTAGTGAGTGGATAGTAGTAAAGTTTATAGAAGAAAAAGAAAGCAGGACGGGAAGGATGGGAGGTGGGGGTGGGGGCACGGTGATAATTTTAGATAAGGTGGTCAGAGTAAGTCTCACACGATGCTGACACTTCAGAAGTTAGACTTGAGTGAAACAGTCATTTAGATGTTGGGTGAGACTTGCAGACATGGGAAAAGCCAGGAGAGAGGCCCTGAGGTAGGTTCCCTGACGTGGAACAGCAGTCAGGCATGTGTGTCACGAGTGAGAGGTGTAGGCCAGGGTATCCAGAAGGGCACTGGCACAGGTGGTGTGGGGCAGGGGTTGGCAAACTTTCTGTAAAGGCCTGGGTAGCAACCACTGTAGCTTTTGTGGACCACATATGGCTTCTTTGACATTTTTTTTTCGGCTTCCCTTTCCTTTTCTCCTTTCTTTTCCTTTATTTCTTTAATGACTCTTTAAAAATGTAAAAATTTGGGAAGCCTGGGTGGCTCAGTTGGTTAAGTGTCCAACTCTTGATTTTGGCTCAGGTCATGATCTCGTGGTTCCTGAGATCAAGGTCTGCGTCAGGCTCTGACCTGACAGCGTGGAGCCTGCTTGGGATTCTCACTCTTTCCCTCTGCTCCCCTGTTGGTTGTTCTGTCTCTCTCTGGCTCTCTCAAAATAAATAAAATAAACTTTAAAAAACGTAAAAGTTGTTCTTAGCTTATGGTTTTTGTCTTCCAGCTGGCTATAGTTTGCTCAACCCCTGGTAGAGGACCTTGTATGCATTCTGAAGAGGTACCTCACACTCAGCGAGTATAGACCTGCTGATTGATGCGTTTCCTATCTCAGTGTGTAGTTCCATTGCTCACTCGGTTATCCTGGCCAGAACCTTGAAACCATCATCCTTGAAGCCCTCATGGACACCTCATAACTAACATCTAATGTCGATGTCTGTTAATTTTATCTCCTGAGTATCCGTACGTTTCGTTGCTAGAACCCTAACTTAAGCATCGGTCACCTGAACAGTAGCCTCATCATTGATCTCCCCAAACCCACTTTTGTCCCTCCCTTCTGTGTTCACACAGCTGCCTTTTGTCCCTCCCTTAGAAGATGGTCACTTTCTGCCAAAAAGGAGCTCCGAGCTCTGAGGATTCCTCTCGCCTCATCTCATACTCCCTGCTGTTTCTCTCAGTTCTTAGAGGTTATCCTGCTCCTTCCTGTGAAGAAACTTAGCATTTGCCATATACTGTCCGAGATGCTCTTTCCTTGTGCCCTTCATTTTTCACCAGCCTGTAGACCTTTTTTTTTTTTTTTTTTAAATGTTTTTATTTATTTCTGAGAGAGAGAGACAGCATGAACAGGGGAGGGTCAGAGAGAGAGGGAGACACAGAATCCGAAACAGGCTCCAGGCTCTGAGCTGTCAGCACAGAGCCCGACGTGGGGCCTGAACCCACGAACTGTGAGATCATGACCTGAGCCCAAGTCGGACGCTTAACCAACTGAGCCACCCAGGTGCCCCACCAGCCTGTAGATCTTAAAACCTTGTGTCGGCTTGTGTCAGTGTGTGCGAGGCATTAAGTGAAGAAATAACTTAGTGGATAAAGTGCAAAATGAACTTGTTTTGCAGAGCTTACATTCTAGTAACGTTATCCCCGAACTCCTTCGCTGGGCCCATTCTGCGTATCATAAACCCTGGCAGCACCTAGTGTCTCATCCTTACAGTGGGTGGTTACATTTGTCTTTAATATTTATGTGTGATTATTTGACTAATGTGTGCTCCTCACAATAAACTCTGTACTCAGTGAGAGGAGGGACTCTTCCTCATCTTGCTCTCACTGCCTGACACAGTAATGTGTATTCATAGGTGTATTTTTTTTTTAATATTTTTATTTATTTCTAGGAGAGAGAGAGAGACAGCGTGAGCAGGGGAGGGTCAGAGAGAGAGGGAGTCACAGACTGAAACAGGCTCCAGGCTCTGAGCTGGCAGTCAGCACAGAGCCCGACGCGGGGCTCGAACCCACGAACCACGAGATCATGACCTAAGCGAAAGTCGGACGCTCAACCGACCAAGCCACCCAGGCGCCCCCATAGGTGTATTTTGAATTGATGTCTTAGTGAACGGATTTTAAAAAAGTTAAAAGTTGTTCACATTTAAAATTTCCTCTTCAGGAAATTTTTACAGAAGATGGACCTATATTTCCTTCCATTTTTTAATGGAAATATCCATACCTTAATTCTTGCATGGATTTTGGTTATTTTTCAGCCTTTGGGTGTATAGTCATTATTTTACATCATGTAAACAGGTTATCAAAATTAAATTTAGATTTCTTCACGTTAAAAATGAAAGTGCTAAATATCCCTTTTGATAGATTTTATTATTTTAACCAGGAAAAGTGTTTTAGGTTATTCCAACTACAAAAGTTTATATGCACTTTAGAAATTTGCTATTTTTGAGGTTAAAAAATGACTTTAAAATCAGATACAAAAGAAGTTTTTAAGAGAAACTAATTTACTTTATGTATTTGTTCCTGTTATACTTTTAAACAGAGGAGAAACTTAAAACTCATAAAGTGATCAGTGCTGAAGTTAGGAGTAAGATAATCTAAATTATTTGTAACTATCAATTAATTCATGTTGATAAATTGGTTTCGGTGCAGTTATTTTTATTTATGGAGATTTTTTTTAATTCCTTGTTGCAACCTCTGTGTGATATGAGAGTTAGAGACTGCTTTTAAATACACTTGTTGTCAAAATGTTTTATCTTAACCTAGATTTTGTGATCCATCAGGTGATTCTGGACAAGGACTGAGAACATGGATCAAGCAGGTTTTAAATCAAGATTTAACATTCCAACACATAAAAATTATTTATCCAACAGCTCCTCCCAGGTATGCAGTAATTTATCTCACTGCTCAGTATAACTGTAGCATAAAATGTATATAAATAGATGTACCAGCTAAATGTTCTTTAAACTTGTGTTTTTAAAGTATTTTGAATTGGGGTACCTTTTTTCCAGAACTGTTGTTTTTTTTTTTCCAAGTTCATGATTCAGCCAAGTTTTGTTAGATGAGTAATTTATTCCCTCTTTGTAAAGCATTCTCTGAGCTTTGAACTTAAACTTTGTCCTAATGAACAGTCTCCTGAACTCTGCTTCCTCTAGCCCTGGAGATTGCTATTGTTCAGATTCTCTTTTTCCCTTCATTTACCCCAAAAAGAAACTAATAACTTCAAGAAGCATAAACTTTCTAACAATTTAGTTGTGCCACAGTTCATAATCCCTGGAAAAGGGTTTTGTGGCATTGTTGCTACACTTAAAAAGATTTGGCAACAATGTTCTTTGAATCAGTAAACCAGAATAGGAATGTGGAGTTGACTACTTAATAAATAGTTAGATTATTATAGATGTGTTTAACAAAATGCACAGTCATGAGATTGGTATAGTTTTGAAGTTAAACTGCTTTTTATAATTATTAAATTGGCATCTCCATAAGCTTTTATTCTGAGCACATGCTTTAAACTGAGGTTTATAAATAAATTTTTGGGTAAGCAAAATAATGTGCTGAGTTATACAACCCCTGATTTCTCTATCTGTTCTTGATTTATTCTTATTAATGACACTGTGTGCTTATGCAAATGTGATTTTTATTTTTCTGTTAAGCTAGTGTTAAGGAGAATCAGAACCAGAAGTTCAAGGACCTTTTTGAATGCAGTTAAGATTTTACTTACCTCAGTTGATAGAATTGAAAATGGTAGAACAATATAAAGATAATTTTGTTGCAAAACCTAAGATTCAAAAAAAGATATTTTAATATTATTTTAGAGGAGTTCAGTAGTTTGATAGTGCAAATGAAAAGCCTCTGACCAGGGTGCCTGGGTGGCTCAGTTGTTTGAGCATCCTACTCTTCTTTTGTTTTGTTTTCTTTTTATTTTTTTCTGAGAGAGAGAGAGAGAGAGAGAGAGAGACAGCATGAGCAGGGGAGGATCAGAGAAAGAGGGAGATACAGAATATGAAAGAGGCTCCAGGGGCTTGAACCCACGAACCGTGAGATCATGACCTGAGCTGAAGTAGGACGCTTGCTTAACCGACTGAGCCACCCAGGTGCCCCATTGAGCATCCTACTCTTGATTCAGCTCAAGTCACAATCTCATGTTTGTAAGATCCAGCCCTGCATCAGACTCTGCACTGACAGCATGAAGCATGCTTGGAATTCTCTCTCTCTCTCTCTCTCTCTCTCTCTCAAAATGAATAAACATTAAAAAAAAAAAAGAACGAATGACCAAGAGGTTATTTTTGTGCTGTAAGTTGAATGTCTTTGAAACGTCAAAAGAGCTTGTTATTTGCTATTGGTTTGTAGTGAAGTTGGGAAAGAGAAAGACAATGGTATTCCTGTGGAGACAGGAGAGATAAGTTCATTTCAGCCTAAATATAAGCATAATTGATAAAATTGAATGGAAGATCATTGGAAACAGATTCTAGAATCAGCACTTTTCAGCTTATGAATTTATATCATCACCAGTTTTGATACACATTACAGACCAGTGTATCTCAGACTTTAGGCCAGAAATATTTCTGAGAATCCAGAAGTCTCAGTATGCTTTAAGTATTGTTTGTGGGTGCTGTTGTGTTTAAGTAAAATATAAAATCACTGAAATATTTCACTGAATTCTTAGTAACTGTTGGTATTATATATCTTCATAGTCAAGTACATATTGGGACAGATCGTCAAACATTTTAGACCATGCTCACCATGAAGTATAATATGAGCTACATATGTAAATTTAAATTTTCTTGGTACCACATTAAAAAAGGAAAAAGAAATAAGTAAATTAATTTTAATATATTTTATTTAACCCATTATATCCAGAATATTATAATTAAAACATGTAATCACTATAAAATTATTAAAGTGATAATTTGCATTCTTTTGTTCATTCTAAATCATTGAAATCTGATGTATATTTTACATGGGCAACACATCTCAGTTTGGATGCTGATCAATTAATTAAATTTACATTAAATAATTATTTAATCAATGAAAACAAAAACACTAATTTGAAAAGATATACGTGCTCCTGTGTTTATTATTGCAACATCATTTACAATAGCCAAGATATGGAAGCAACCCAAATGCCATCAGTAGATCGATGGATAAAGATGTGGTGTGTACATGTGTGTACACACACACACACAGGAATATTGCTCGCCTATAAAAAAGAACAGAGTCTTGCCATTTGCAACAACATGGATGGACCTAGAGGGTATTATGCTAAGTGAAATAAGTCAAAGAAAGACAAATACCATGTGATTTCACTTATATGTAGAACAAAACAAACAGGGAGCTCCTGGGTGGCCCTGTCAGTTGACTGATATCAGCTCAGGTTGTAACAGTCTCGTGGTGGGATTGAGCCCAGCATTGGGCTTTGTGCTGAACATGGAGCATGGCTGGGATTCTCTCTCCCTGTCCTGCCCCCACCATATCTCCCATGTTCATGTGTGCACGCTTGTTCTATCTCTCTCTCTCAAAATAAATAAATAAACTAAAAAAAAAAAAAGCAGAGAAACCAAAAAACATACTCTTAGATACGGTGGGGCGGGGGGGGGGGGAGTGAGGGGTGGGTGACCTAGATAAATGGGATTAAGAGGTACAAATTTCCATTTATAAAATAAATCAGTCACAGAGATGAAAAGCCCAACGTAGGGAATATAGTTGTATTAATTATACAATAATGTTGTAATAGCGTTTGACAACAGATGGTGACTGCACTTATTGTAATGTATAGAATTGTTGAATCATGCTGTGTACCTGAAATGAATATAACACTGTATGTTAATTATACTTAAAGAAAAAATTATATTAAATAAACGTAAAAGTTTAGTAGCTGGTCATACCAGCTACATAATGTTAAGTGCTCTATAGGTATATGTGTCTAGGAGCTACCATTTTGGACAATGTAATTTTAGACTTTTTTTTTTTTTTTTTTACAAATAGTTAATTGTCAAATTAGTTTCCACATAACACCCAGTGCTCATCCCTACAAGTGCCCTCCTCCATGCCCATTCCCCCTCCCCCCCACAATTTTAGACTTTTAAAAGGAGTTCCCATACATAGTATGTTAGGGGCTACTGTTCTAGATCAATTCATCATTTTTATCTCAGTTTCTCATGACTTACAGTTCTTGAACTTGTAGGATTTCTTTTTTTTTTTTTTTTTAAACAATGAGGTAATTTAAATTATTCATTCTCAAGCAAGGATGATTCTCCCTCAGAGAACATTTGCAATGTTGGGAGATGTTTTTTGGTGGTCACAGCTGGCTGGAGGGGACACCGGAGGAGCCTACTGGCATCTCCTGGGTAGAGGCCAGGGTTGCTGCTAAACACCCGACACTGCATGGGACAGCCATCACCACAGAGCATTAGCCAGCCCCGAATCTCAGGGGTGCCTAGGTTGAGAAACCCTGCGTTAAATTACACCTCTATTCCACACATACTAGATGATTAGTATCTTGGTTCTCCGTTAGGAAAAAAATAATGTTGCAGTGTGATCAGCTGTTTATATTTTAGAAAAACAAATATCTGAGATACTTAAGTATGAATGGCATCATTTTCTTTGAATCAATACAAAAAGAGGTTGAGATTGTAAGTAAGAACAGGTCTTTATATACTAGACTTCCTTTACTTTTAGATTTAATTTTTCAAGGTCAGAAACATTAAATACAAAATTCCACTTTTCTTAAAAATTTACTCTTGAGAGCATGAAATGTGAAGTTTTGCTTCCCTGTTTTCACTAGTTCTAGGATCCCCAAGATGAATAAATAAAAACCTCACAATTAAATACAATTTGCAACTTCCTATTAAGGAATTCAAGAGCTTTTCAAACAATTTTCAGAGAGTATATAGACCTGCATTGTGGAATATTACGTTTCAGACCCCTGTTCTTGATGAGAGACATCAAATAAAACAGTGAAATGAGACACATATAATTAAGGATAGTAATGCCATTTAATTTGCTATCAATATAAAAATCAAGTAAGTTTGTGAAATATGTTTATTGCTTTCAGTCGTAAATACCAGAACCCTCAACCAACCTAGCAAAGTTATTTTGTTGAAATATTTGGTAAGTTGTACATTTTTTTAGCTCTGCTATATTTCATTGGGCCTTTTCTGCATTGGAAATCAAATGTCACTGATCCAGGATTACCAGTGGCTCTGAAAATTTTGACTTTTGATCTACTACTAAATGTTGGAAGGGCTCTTATGACAAGCAAGATTTACAAGCAAGAACTGAGTTCAGTATTTTATCATATGAGAAGATCTGTTTCAACATTACTGTGAAATCATTTTTCTTTTGTTCTGTGAATAGTGCAGATATCAGCAAGTTTTAATTCTAGTTGTCTCCGACTCCCAGAGCAATTAGAAACTTTATTTATTTTAATAAATTTTCATTTTAATTTTCAGGCGTGAACCATATAGACTGAGGATTTGGCAATCTGAGTTCATCTTACATCTCACTGCAGTTTTGGTTCATGCCATTTTCCTTCTGTTTTAGTGTAAATATTTCAAGATTATTTTTACATAAGTACATAGGCATTAAAGGCATTGTATGGAGGTAGTTAAGACACCAGATAGTGTTTATACAATTCAGTAATATTTTATTCTCTTTGTTGTATTGAAATTGGTGATGATGCTTTCTTAGTTTCATGGTGAATTAAAATGTAATACATTTTAAGGTTTTCATGTTTTTAGACTTACTCTTCTGTCCCACAAATTATCACTTCTTAGTTTTTTTCCCATTAAATTATGTTTGGTAGTTACATATTTTGACTCCTGTTCACAGTCTGGCCTCTTTTTGGTATGCCTTTTTTTGCTATTTCCTTTTCCTCTGTCCAG